AATTAAGTGGATGACTTGGATAAGTCTGGAAACACTAATGAACTTATATGTTTTACCGTCCATAAGGGTTAGGAACCCCAAATCAAGCACATCGACATTTCTTGATGTCGTTGTAATACAAAAATAAAATAAATACCATTTGAATACATGTTCATCTCCCTAAAATCCATTCAAAGATTATACTTAAGGTGATCAGTTAAACTATAGCAATCAGTATTAAGAAGTGAATAATGGTGTCGTACCTCGGTCTGAATGAATTGACAAGTATGCAGTGTTAAAATTTGATTAGTCTATTTGACTCGAAAGTTCAATAATTCGATATAAATCCCGAATGCTGCAAACCAAAGCTTGACCCTTATTTGGTTACATTCCTAAGAATTCTTCAAGAATCAAAATGTCTAAAATGCCCTGATAGCCTGAATAATGGAATCATTCTGTTTATATTTGAATCTTAGTAAGTTTTGATATAATAAATTCTTGATTATCTTCCTAATTATGTAGTGTCTCCAAAAATATCTGAATACTATATGATCTTGATAAATCGCTTCCCAAATATCTAATGAATCTGTTAGCTATCAAACTCTCTTTTTATAGGGATCTTATTTCTAAAATCCTATAAATTTACAAAAGTTTTGTGGTTCCCTACCTGATAAATACCAAGTACCTCCGAAGCTACCTGATATATGCTCTCTGGTTACATGTTTTCACTGGAAAATACAATCGTTCTGATTTATAGATCATGAAATCTACTGGTTATTACTTGAACTGTTTTATTGGGACACTATCTGGGTAGGATTCTAGAGTATGGAGGTTCAACTCTGATCAAGTTGGTAATTCCTTACGGACTAAGGTATTCCTTGGGTAAGCTCTAAGGCCCCAAGGCACTCTCTTAGTATGGAGATTGTATTTTGGTGTACGGATGGAGGGTATTCATGTGATTTAAATAACTATATTATCATTTTTACAATATTCTATTGGATCATGATTTTGATATTAAAGTTACTGCTCAATCTGATTTCTATTGGATACCGTATGGGTATGATTCTGGAGTATGGAGGTTCAGCTCTAATCAAGCTGGTAATTCCTTGCGGACCTAAGGAGACCCTTGGGTAGGCTCATAGGCCCCAAGGTACTCCTTTAGGGTGGCGCATTTGATGTGTGCTTAGGGTAAGTCCTTATGGATACAGTTATGGAGAAAAATGATGATAGGTGTTCGGTTGGAGGGTATTATTGTGGTTTTAAAATATGTTTTAAACTACTAATGCTTTTAAAGGATCTATACATATTTCTCTGTTTTGTTGGAACACACTAGACTCCCCAATTTAATCTTCTAAATATGTCTCTCTGAATACTTCCTTCGGACCGTAAATCCCAAAAAAACAAATTTAATTTTTAAAAGTATCGTCTCAATTGATTTGGTGTTTCCTTTTTAAAAATCAAAATCAAACATAGTTTGATAAGTCTCCACCAATCTTTGATTAAGGTGTGATTGGGCACCCAAAATATTTTGTCATTTTAATAAAAATTATTTTTTATTAAAACAAAAATTTTACGATATGCATTTCCAAAAATTTGAGTTCGGAAGTCGATTACGCGTGGAGAATGATTAGCACCCCCACAACGCCCTAAATCGGTACATAGTCGATTAATTAGTTGTCTTTGCAATGAAATTTACGAGTTCAAATTTAATTTAGTTCAATATCCCTTTAAATAATATTCTTTGAATTTTAGGACGAAACACAATAATATTTAATTTATTCCCTATCGAGAAGAAACAACCTCACATGCCTTAAAGAAGTTATTTCTTACTCCAATCGAAATAAAGAAATATTACAATTCCATTCTAAAGTTCATTATTAATTCCAAATTCAAATGCATAAACAACAATAAAATAAATCAAATTAAAATTAAGATCCTTTTTAAGGTATTCTTTGAATTTTAGTATGGAAAATGGCAATATTTAATTATTTCATATTGAAAAAAAATCTCTCATACCTTATAGCAGTCATTTCTTACTCCAGATGAAATAAAGAAATATTATAATTCCATTCTAAAAATTGTTATTAATTTGAATGCATGAATAATACTAAAAATAAAAATTAATTTAAATATAAATTACCAATCCTTTTAGAAAGAAGAATGATGTTTGATTATTTAAAGACATCGTGATCGGACGACCTTTTATAAGTTATACTGATATTTTCTCGATAAATTTAAATAGACGAACATTTCTTTTTCTCTCGTTCCCAAATTTTATCTGTAGTCAAACTTTTAGGGTTTCACTTAATGGGATACACTTTTATTTTAAAATTATCGAAAGTAACTTTCTTATATGCTAATATAGTCGCTTCACAATAACCCTAAAATGAACGGATATTACCATTAGTCAAATTATTTTGATTCAAGTCAAGTAGTGCTTATGAGGATATCATACAAATTATTTTAAAATTAAAACCTAAAATTTGTGCACCAAATTATGCACTCACATGAATATATGTAAATAAATATCAAAATTAAAATATATTATAAATGAAATATATATAAATATACACACATACGTAAAACAAAAGGACATGAACATACATTTTATAATAGGTATATGATAAAACACACGAGGGACTAAAATAAAATGAAGAATAAAATAAACATTCAAAGCATAGAAAGGGCAACCTTCATTTAGTGACCGAAACAAAAATATTTAAAATTACTTGCTAAAATTAAAATAAACAAAAACAAATATATGAGGTGACTAAAATAAATGTGCAACAAAATAACAAGGCAAAATCAAAAACATAATAACCTCGAATGAGGATCAAACACGTAAATAAACCAAAACATATACTATTAATTAGAGTAGTGATTAAAATATAAACCAAATAAAATTAGAAGCTCAAAATAAAAATAAATAAAACTCTATACAGGTACCAGAACAGAATGTTACAAAGCACAAGACCTCTTTGCGTGAATATTCCCTTTCATAACCCACGGGTTGCCCTAGAACACCAAAATGGCGTCCTTTTGAGGAGTTTGAATACCCTTTTTTACCATTCTCGGCCAAAACTCTTTCTCATTTCCTTTCCCTCAGTCGTTTTCACTCTCACCCCTCTCTCTCATTTTATATTTCACTCAACCGAAAGGTATGAACAAATCCCCACCAGCCACCGTAAATTGGTGGCCACGATAAGGGTAACCAAACCTTACACCCCTTTTTTCCTTATAACTAAAAAAATAAACCTATGAACCCTTTTTTCCACTCGAATCTAAGTATAGGTTTGGAAGAATATTACCATTTGATAACTCTGGTGAAGCAGCAGTGATGTCCTCACTAAAGGTAGGGTTTTTCTTCTTTTCTTTTTTTTCGTTCTTTTTCTGGTTCAAATTCTCCCTTTTCTTTTCGAACTAAAAACTCTCTGTTTTTTTCTTTTTCCGAACTGAATCACCTTCTCTTTCTGTTATTGCATGTTATATTTCTTTCCTTTTGCGTGTTTGGTGATGGCTCCTTCATAGGGGCATGATTTCCCTTAAATCGAGTAGTTAATATCCCCGATTTCTCAAGATTTAACTTATTTTTAAGGGGTTTGGTGATTTAGATTGATATGTTATTTTTATTATTTTCATTGTTGATGCGAGATGATGATGTTGAGTAGTTGAAATGGCAGAGGTCGGATGACGGGAGTGGGTGACCGGAACAGTGGCGACGGCTGGAAACCCTAGGGTTTCAAACCCTAGTGGTTTATTTTTGTTGGGATAGGGTTTTGGCCGGTTGTAATTGAGTTGCAATTGGGCCCAATTTAGACATGTTATAATGGGCTTGTAAATGAAATAAATAAAATAAAAATAAAAATAGTTAAATAATAATTAATAATAATAATATTAACGTTTCGATCTGGACAAAACGGGTGTCTACAATTAACATATTAGGTTGCGCCTAAAATGTTACCAAAGTTTAAGCTGATGGGGCTTTAGAAATCTGACGATAACAAAATATGTTAAATACTTATTTTGTTATAAATATTATCAACATATTAGGTTGTGCATAAAGTGTTACCAAAGTTTAAGCTGATGGGGCCTTAGAAATCCCACGACAACAATATAAGTTATATACTTATTTTGTTATAAATAAATATTAACATATTAAGTTGCGCCCAATAATGTTATTGTTAAGAAAGAAGTATATTGTGATATGGAATGTTAAAGTTGTGTTTAATGAAATCGTTAGCGATTTAATATGTAATTGTATCTTTGGAGGGAAATTGTTTTTAAAATAAATATCGATACTACTATGATCTGATGGTTGATATTATAGCAAATATCGATATTGTTTCTATGATGTTCGATATTTTAACATTTTTTAAAGTTGATGTAATTTAAAATATCGAAACTTGTTAATTTGAAAAAAAATTGAAATGTTAAGATCGAAAGTTATTTATTTGAAAATTTCCATTAAAATATTTTTTGTAAAAATATCAATACTAACAGAAAATATGGTGATGTAAATAGGGACGGGTACGAACCTAAATCCGACAGATTCCAACCCAACTCGATTTTATTGAGTTAGATTTTTTAGAAAAATCAAGTTCATGTCATGTTGGATTCGAGTTTAAGATAAAAAATATCTGACCTGATTCAAAAAATAATAAAATTTTACCTTCTTTATTTGTAAGAATAATTATAATAATACCCTTCTATATTAATTTTTCAATTAGATCCCTAATTTTATCGAATAAAATTAATATTTTTTTATAAATATATTTGTTTCATGTAGGGTTCAAATTTTATCTCAAAAAGACGGGTCAAATTCGGATCAAGTGAAATCACCCTGAACCCGGATCAAGTCGGATTTCATTTTGAAGATATATATTTTTCGGGTCAGATCGGATTGACCAAAATGGGTGGCACTTAATAGTGTACCAAAAAGAAAAAAAAAAAGAAAAAAACACAAAATAATGACCATATTATGTCAGGACGTGTGTTAAATTTACAATCCATACAAGGTTCCATAAATTTTATTTCAGAAGCTCTCGCTTGTATTCAAGTATAGTTAGTATCCACATCAAACAGGTTGTCAACAGCTTAAAATCATGAAACTGCAAGGGAGAATGGAATTCTTAATATAAGAAAGAATCTTTGCATTTCTCCTACCTCGACCGGAGTGTCTTTATATGCTTAACAATTTCTCAAGGCTGGCGGAAGGAGCTTGTTCCTTGCTCGTGGTGCTTATCAATTGCTTGGTTATCAACAGAAATATCATGGCTGCTTCCCTCCGTCTCCGGGGCTATCTCCCTCACATCAGCTATTCTTGCCTCGGTTGCCTGAATATCACTCCATTCACCACCACCAACCGCTTGGATGTTATGTTGATCCACTGCCATGTGGACCATGCTCTCTCCTGGCACCGGCACTGATCTAGAAACACTTAGACAAGCTTTATCTACGTTATCCGACAAGTCAACATCCTTTGTGTCGGGTGGACTGTTACTGGTGTTTGAGGACTCGGTCTTCTCCTCAAAAATTTGCTTTGTGTCACTCTGTTGTCTGTGAATAAAATAGAACACAATATCAACTTCTGTTGCCCCACAAGCATATTTCTATGCCTGTAATACATTCACATATGCCAAGTAAACAGGATGATTGTTATAATTCTTGCAAATATTAGACATCAAACCTTTGGAGATGCGCCCGTAATACGTTCACATACGCGAGAAGTTCTTGCTTTTCCTTCACAGCAGCAGCCTCTTTCTGTGCTGTTTCTTTTATTTTTGCTTCAGCATCCGTTTCAGTGATTCTGACCTTCTCCTCTGCTCTCAAGACTGCTGCTTCTAATACTACAGCACTCTCTCGAGCTTTTGCAAGCTCAGTACACCACATGTGTGCCTCCTGCATGGCAGAGTCTCTATGCTTAATCAATTGTTCTCTTTCTTTACCTAGGACCCCGATCTTTTCTTCAGACTCCCTCAGCTACAAACAACAAAGAGAAAACTTTGAAATAAAATTTATGATGATTACAAGACATATATGTTACATCGAAATCATGAAGCCCAGGTCAAGACAATTGAGGTGACTTCCTAAAAGTGAAAACCATATTAGTGATGCTAAGTAAATAAGATTTGAACAAAATGAAGGAATATGGCGAGAGGTGGAGAAGGGGAAAATAGATGATTCTTGGATGCAATTAACTACGTCACATCAAGATGCTAGCAATACCTTTAACATGAATGCTTCCTTTTGTTTTTCCGAATCTTTTGTTAAGCGCTCAATTTCTGCACAAGCAATTCTCCTTTGTTCATCCATTATATGAGCTGCAGATGCTGCAGATTCAGCAGCTTCAGCAGTTTCTGAAAGTTTCTCTGCTATTTCTCTTATCATTGAATCACGAGCCCGGAGATCTCGAGCCAAATTCTGCAATTCCTCGTCCTTGACTCTTAGTGTCTCCTACAAGATTTAGCTACCCTCAGAAAACCGAATCTAAGTAGAACAAACTACTTTAACTGACCAAGCATTAACCACATTAAGGAGACAAGACAGTGAGTTAGAAAGCCTGCTTAAGAGGCCAAAACAACACATGTGATGCAGTTAATAGCTGTTGACCCAGGACAAGATTGCTAATTAACTTGGTTGAAAATATTTCACAATGTCAATTACAAAATGATATTTTTGACTCCAGTAACTATAAGCCATGTTAAAATTTTCAAGCATCTCAGGTCCAACTCCTAAAATTACGTAAAAGGTTATCTTATCAAATGTAAATGTTTTGCACTTTGAATATGCTCCCATGATAAGTTCTGAAGAAATGAGACTTCAATCTGAGTATAACACTGGTATCTTCAAATAACTTAAACACACTGGTATGTTCAAATAACTTGAAAAAAACAGCCCCCAAGCACAAGAGATTAAAAGGAGGAACTGCTCATAGCATACCTTCATAATTGTAAGATCATCCATTGGACCATCAGTGGATGCATTTGTCACCAATCCTAAGGCATTTCTCAAAGATATCTGCATTGCCGCTTCAATTTCTTTAGAACATTCCTTGGCTGTTGAATTGGCAGCAGCAACTACTGTTGCAACCGTACCTAATTTTGCAGAACCATTCCCACTTAAGGAATTGACAGCCTCTTTGTGGGCCTTTAGAACCAATTGTGTCGCACTATTTTTGAAAAGAAGAAACATCAATCAAATGGAAACATCGTATAAATGAAAAATGAGTTTTGAAAAGAAATCTGTAAATTGTATGGTGAGTATACTTTTTTCTGATGATAAGAGATGGTATCAGCTATCATCTTCACATAAGTTGAAAGAATTATATAAATAAATAAACACGAGCGTGTGTATATATAACAGTAAAAAACTCAATATAATGCCGTGAAAGCTAACTTACTGTAAAGTTGATACCCAAGCTCTAGCAGCACCAGGAGTCTCCGCACAAAGAAAGTAGTCATTTTTCTGGGGAGTCCCGATATCTAAATGGTATAATTAAGAGGCATTCAAGTTTAGCAACTAGATTTTCCACATATCATAATAAAGAAAGCCCTAAAAAATCAATTAATCTTTCAAAAATTATTTGGATACAGAAACAGCAGCCTTCATACTTTGGGAGTCCGCTGCAGCAAATACAGGTAAAAAATATAATATTAATAACAAGCCAAATGGGGACTCAGAGCAACAATCGACCAAATGAGAAATAAGAATATCATCTTACTGAAAGTTAACAGGGGATATGGCAATAGTGCTGTTTTCATTGAAGGTCATGATTCCCTTAATACTTGGCTCATTCCTCCTAGTCCTAAAACAAGCAAACAACAGAATCTCTAGTTCAATTTCAATCTTATGAAGAAAACAAACGAAAGGACCTACAAATACACTTACTTGTATTCCATTTTCCCCGTTGTGGGGTCTAATATCACCCAACGTTCATTCCATTTCCTCAACTGTTAAACCAATGTACAGCACATAAACTAAATTACCAAATAGCTTGAAAATTTATCTTAAAAAAAACAAATTGGTGAAAATTATAGCTGGAATCAGCACAGTAAATGAAAATTGTAAAATTAACGAGAGAGAGAGTAGAGGAGGATCATACGGTCTCAGATCGCTTGAGAAGAGGACCTTGTAGCAAGTTCCTCCCGGAGCCAGAGGCCAGCTGCCGTTTGATCTTTTCCAAACTGTTCTCCGTCGTATCCCTAACTCCCTGTTCCTTTTTCCCAAAATAAAAGGGTATTAGAAAGAATCAATTCCAAATACAACTAGTGTAAGCGAAAGAAAATAGGAATTACCGTAAAAGCGCCATTGGAAGCCATGAGGGATCAAATCCGAGAGAAAGGTTTGATCCTCAGCTGGAGAAATATCCTGTCTTGGTTCTTTATTACTATCTTTTCAATTCAGTAGAGCTGTTAGGTTTGTCGCTTGGACCAGCAGTTAGGCCTAGCCCCTCTTTTTGCCATGGTATTGGTCTGGGTAAACTACGCAATCCAGTCATTCAATTTTCAGTTTATTTTTGTTTTTGTCACATAACTTTTAAATATTTATATTTTGTCACCTAACTTTCGAAATTCATTTTTCTAATCATCTTAGTCGTAAAGTTTATAAAGTCGATTAAATTATTTTAGGTAAATTTATACAAAAGCTCTTTATATTTGCTTTGATTCATTAGTGCTAGAGTATTTTTTATGAATCTGAATTGTGGAAAGATAAAAAAGAGGGAAAAATATTTCAATTCAATGATGATTAGATAATTGATATTACGGATCGAATTAAGATAAAGTTAAAGTTTTAATTTAAATTCAAATTCATTATTCAATTTAAATTTATTATTTCGATAACAATTAAATTAAAGAAAAGGATAAAGATGTGAGAAATGAGAATATTTTGATATCACTTACATTGTATATAATATGTTAAACAACGATGAAAAAGATATCAATCATGAAAAAATAGAGGTGAAATATTAAGTTAATTACATAAATATAATTATTTATGATACAATATTTTGATATTATCATTAAACAACTAACGGTGTGGTGATAAAAAATAAAAATTAGGTGATAATTAGAAATTTCATTCTGAATATTTTAATATAATTAGTATATAACAGTTTTAAATATAGATAAATAAATTTATAGCTAAAAATTATTTAAATTCGAATCATCAAGAGAAAACAACAAAACTCTAATGAAGTATAGTGCTTACGAGGCCCAAGCCCATAAAATCACACAATCAAAGGCAAATGTGCTAGGGTTTCACTAAACTTATATATACCTCATTTCCAATTATTTTCCCTTTCTCGAGTTAGGGCTCTGCGCGAGGTGTGAATCAAAAGCCGCCGTCGCCATGGTTAAGTTTCTAAAGCCCAACAAAGCCGTCATCATCCTCCAGGGTCGATACGCCGGTCGCAAGGCCGTGATCGTACGATCCTTCGACGAAGGCACACGCGACCGCCCCTACGGCCACTGTTTGGTTGCAGGGATAAGAAATTACCCGAGCAAGGTCATACGAAAGGACTCCGCCAAGAAAACGGCCAAGAAATCGCGCGTCAAGTGCTTCGTCATGCTCGTGAATTATCAGCACCTGATGCCCACGCGTTACACCCTCGACGTGGACTTGAAAGACTCGGTCTCCGTCGATGCGCTTCAGACGAAGGATAAGAAAGTGGCTGCGTGTAAGGCTACCAAACAGAGGTTTGAAGAGAGGTTCAAGACTGGAAAAAACAGGTGGTTCTTTACCAAGCTTAGGTTTTGAGTGTTTCGATCATATAATCTTAAAACGTTTTGGATTGAATACGGATCTGAATCTTTTTCGATGAGATAACGTGATTTGCTCATTTATGTTTGAACTATATGTGATCGCACTTCTTTGGCTGCTTTATACGCATCACTTAGCTGTAGAACTGCAGATCGATATGGAAAGTTGAGGATCACGTCTTTGTTGTTTCGCCACTTTTGAATTATCACTGAGGTTTCATATTTTGATGCTGAACTGGAGTTGAATAATTGATCATCGTAACTTTTAAGCGTATTCTGCTATATAAGTCTTCAATGTTTAGTTAGGACGAATGGAAAATACAAGAAGTTATTGTTAAGATATTTTCGGTAACAATAATTTTCGGTAGTAATATAAATTATTATTAATTGTTTAATTTTTTTAAAGTATATTATAATGTTACATTCTTAATTATAACCGAAATTATTATTGATTATGTGATTTTTTATTTTTAATAACTAATATTTTAAATTAAAATTCATTGTAAATTAATTTTAGTTTTAGATTAAGTTGTCCCACAATAGACCTATTCGTTCAACTATCGAAATGTTGATTTTGCTGGTTCAGCAGTTTTCCCGACTTTAATTTTTATACAAGTTGAGGGATTAAAATCATAATTGTGGGAAAAAAATTTAGTTTAATGAATTTAAAACCTTCGAACTTTCACAAAAACTCAACATGGTCCTTGTACAGTTTTTATGCTCAATATGGTCATTAAACTGATTTTTTTAATTAATTTGGTAGTTTTTTATGTCAAATATTTTGAATATCTTAATAATTGTTTGCATTTTTATATTTTAAAATTAAATATATTCTTAATTTTTCTAAACTTAGACATAATTTGAATATCTTAATTTCTTAAACTGAACAATTTTATTGATTCCCCAATGATAAAGGCTTGCATAATTTTCAGCATCATCACCAAAATAGAAAACTGATCACTATTTCTTGTGCTTAGACTTGAGTTCCTTCACCTTCTCCTCAGTCGCCTTCAATGCTTTCCCATATATGTTTATTAACTGTGCAAAGCAATTAGATTCTGTTAAGTCGGTTTCGGTTAATTCAATTTTCACGATTTAAGTTAACTTTTCCGATCGTTTATCGGAGCCGACCGACTTAATCGACTAGATAGTAGTAAGACTGTAAGACCCTTCAACTTACCTCATCAACCTCATGAGGAGATATTATAAATGGTGGAGCCATCATTATGGTGTCGCCTGCAACACGTACTACCATCCCATGCTTCTCACACTGTGCCCCAAAATATGCACCAAGTCCTGCATACAAAATCATCAGTGATTTGTTACCGGAGCACGTCTCAAAAGACTGACCCCATCCGACATCAACAAATGGCTTGGAAACACACTCAATGGTATCTATGTGAGTGAGGAAAATAGGACTTGCCCCATTCAGGAGGGAAAGGATCAGTAGGTGACTTGTTGTCCGTAAATTCCGTACTCAGAATCAAGCCGGTACCACGGATCTGCATAACCGAACAATGATTATGATTCGAAGTTCTCGGCATTCTTAGTAAAGTATATGTGAAATGCAGAATTTCACCTCTCCAACAATAGGGCTGTCTGAAAATACTTTTAAACCATCTTGAAACCTTGGGGATATCCTCTTCACCTTCTCAACAAGATTCCTTTCCCTGCAATGATGTTCATATGGACATGTTTATTTAACTATTCCAAAAGATTCGAAATTATTTTGATATTTTCTACTTTGATCGAGGATGGAACACACTTGTAGAGCTTGATCGATTCATTTGCAACAGCGCAGGCTACGGGGTGCCCGGTGTAGGTGAATCCATGAGAGAAAGTACCTGAAAGATGAGTCAAAATTAAACAATTGCATACACTGTCACTCATACGAGAATGTGAGTGTCAGATACAAGTTTGTTTCCGGTACCAACTTACCGAGCTTGTTGCTTTGAGAATAAACGACTTCTGTAACTTGAGGGCTCACCATGATTGCTCCAATGGGCACATATGCTGAAGAAAGTGCCTGAAATAACAGTAGATGCAGAAATATATGAGAACTAATCATGTGAGGGTCAAAATTTTGTTACAGCTTCACCTTTGCTAATGTAACAAGATCTGGTTTTATGTTGTACTTGTCACATCCAAACATTGTCCCAAGCCTTCCAAACGCACAAATAACCTGCACACCAAGCACAGAAGCAAACTTATGCATCAGACTTTGAAAGCCTTTTCGAGATTCAGGTGAAGAGTTCGAATGACATAGAAGAAACAGCAGAATACCTCGTCTGCGATGAAAAGTATGTCATATTTTCTCACAACAGCTTGTACCTGAATGATGCTTGAAATGGTTACATCAGTAAGAAACTGCATATAAGTTTCAAGAGACATTCCCAAGTTCATAATGATAATAAGCCATTGAAGACTTGCCTTCTCGAAATAAGTAGCAGGAGGAGGTATAACACCACCAGCTCCCATCACAGGCTCAGCAATGAATGCAGCAATCTGAATATGAAAAAAACCAGATAAGATCAGCTACACGAACAAAACGAGTCTCTTCTAGTTGCTAAAGGGCGGTAATTACCGTCTCTGGACCCTCTTTCAGGATAAGATTTTCTAAATTGTTGGCTAATCTGGTTGAGAAATCCTCCTCGGTTTCACCTGATACAATGAACCAAAAAAACATGGCTATGATCAGTTTAAGCTCCAAAGGTAAATATGTATGAACAAATGGGTAAAAAGTGAAAACCTGGTAGATGATAGCGCCAGTAATGAGGGCAGTCTGTGTGCAACACAAATGGAGCTGGAAGATCAAAGTTTTGATGAAGAGGAGGGAGTCTGTGAATGGTAAATCTGTTTGTTAAAACCCCAAGGATTTGAATTACTGAGTAAAAGCATTTCTACCAAATAAATTTACCCTGAAAGACTAGCTGATATCAAAGTTGAGCCATGGTATCTGAAGAAATTTCAAGAGAAAGGATGATATATAAGTATTCATGCCATGACACAGAGAAGCAGTGACTAACAGTGTCATCAGCTGAGAAGTCGAATCTTACGATTTGGCTCGAGCAATGAATTTCTTCTTCTTCGGCCTTCCCAGTGCATTATTATAATACCAAACAAGCTTCACCTGTGTATCATTTGCTTCAGATCCACTATTGGTAAAGAATACTTTTGCCATTTTGCTTGCAGTAAAAGTTTCAACAAGTTCCTTGGCAAGATCCTGTAAGATCAATGCTATCAGAACCTGAGCAAAATATCGTAGGATTGATTCAAAGAAAGATGGATCGATGAAGTACTAATGCCGGTTTCGTTGTTCGATTCCAGAACGAATGGTAAAATGGCAACTTATTCAATTGAGCAGTTGCAGCAGCAACAAGCCGAGGTTCATTTCCACCTGCAGAAGATGTAGCAGTCGTAAGGGACCGAACACATTTCGTCTTTCGAAACAAATCATAGCATTTAATTTGATCTTCGACGGACCGAAATCGACAATACCTAATGATGTACACCACAGACCAGCAAGAGCATCCAAATACTTTTTTCCATTGATATCATACACATAGCTCCCCTTGCAAGACCAAAATTGAATTTTCTTATATTGTGTTGCAGGCCTCAGCTCGTATGCATATTCGTGTCGAACACGTATTCAAATCCAAGTAAAATCTAAAAAAGGACACCCTAGACGCATACCTCAGACCTTTCAATAACCAAAGGATTCACATCGGTGGTCTGCCACCCAGCTGTGAATGGAGCCAGCATATCATGTCCCTTAAAATATTGCCGGGTGCTGTATAATCTGGAAACTGATGAACCTTTAATTAGATGCTCCAAAAAGCTTCTGCATGCAGGAGCATTCGTTATATATGATCCAAGCTGCAAATAGAAATGGCGTCAGTTTTTTCTCGGAAGCCAAACAGAATATATACATATATAAACATACATGCACACAATATATATATATATATATATAGAATCCATGAACATAGGAAAGAAACCATCAACATTGGTTTTTCTTAAACCAAAGAGATGATCAAACAGTACAAACATAAGAAAAGAAAGATTAAATATATGAGTGATGAAGATTCGGAACCTGGGTTTTGAGAGTTGATCGAAGGAATTTGACAGAAACCATTTTCTTTTTGATTTGAGTTGAAGGAAATTCATGCAAATGAGAGAGCGTTGTGGGAATGAAACAGTTTAAACACTCCTTCACAGTCTTATAGGCTATTTTTATGGTTGATTTGATCTGGTACATGCAAATTAATACTCCACACGTATCCACTTATCTACTTATTCATCCAAGCTTCTCGTTAAATATTTTTAAAATTTTGAATAAAAGAAAAAAATTGCAAATTTTTTTTATAAAAATACAAAGAAGCTCAACCGGTTGAATCTTGTATTCTTTTATCCAAACTTTCAATTATTTAACAGTTAAACACGAATCAAGCGAACCAAGTAGTTAAGAGATTATTATTACTCCTTGAGATTTCGGGTTTGAGCACTACGTATACAAGGATATGAGTGTTCAATATCAAATAGTTGAGAGTATTTAAACAGATATTACATTGTATTTACTAAATACAAATAAAAAAATCAGTTAACAACAATCCGTTCCATTTTCAGCTTTACCCTATTGATAGAAATAATTTTTGAATAATTTAAGATGATTAAAATGTAATATATGTTCAAAATATTTCTTAATCATTAATAATGACTCATTATGAATATAACTTCAGACATAACTGATTCTAGTAAACATGGTTTAAACATTATTGTACCTAATACCGTCTGTTTTTTATTACTACATTTGTTCCACTAAATTTGACATTTATTATTTTTTAAAAGTTAAAATTTTAAATTTTGATCATGATTATTTTAAATATTTTTGAAAAAAATATATTTTAAAACTACTTGATTGAAGATTTTTAAAATATATTTTTTATATTTTTATCAATAATAAATTTTAAATAATAATAAATCAAAGTTGAAAAAAAGTTTACCAAAAAAATCAAAAAGAGACTATTTGAGTAGGAAGGAAGTTGTAGTTAATATTCTTCTTAAACATTCATTGATAACGTACACACAAACGTAACTACAGATGTAATTGATTCTAATAAATATGGTTTAGACTTTATTCAACCTAATGTTATTTGTTTTTACTTACTAATTTTTAGGGGTGAGCGTTCAATCAAGTCGAGTCGAGTTGAGTAAAAAAATTTCTAGTTAACGAGTTCTATTTTATAACTCAAAGTTGACTTAAAATTTTTTCAAGTCGGATTTATAAAATTCGAGTTATGTTGAGTCGAGTCAAATTTTCGAGTTTCTATTTAAATTTAATTATAAATATTTGTAATATTATTATATTATTTGATTCTAATTTAAATGATTTTCTATAATCATAAACAATACATATTTGTAGTTACATGAATTTCTTTTATTCATATATTAAAGGATAAATTATTTGAATGACCACCCCTAATTATTTCGTGTCGATCTTACCACCACTTTCAAAATATCGTCAATATGATCATTTAATTATTTAATTGGTTTCAATATAGGCACATGTCATTAATATTTAACGAAAATGCTTACGTGGCAGTTAACAAAATTTGTTTAATTATATATTTGATCCTTAATACATGTCACCTCCTATTGAAGGGTTAATTTATTCAATTAAATTAAAATTAAGACCAAATTGATTGAATGTACAAATATTAAGGATCAAATATGTAATTATACAAATTTTATAAATGTTAACGAGAGGTGGCTATATTAAAACCAATTACATAGTTATATGATCATTGTAAACACATATTTTTATCCGGATCTACAAAAACTTTTTATTATATTTTTTTTATTATTATTATTAATATTTTTTTTTGTAGACCTCATATACTATCCCACCATTACCTCACTCAGTCAAACACTACTTAACAAACAATTGATTTCCCCTTCTATCGTGCCACTACCCACTAACTAAAACAAATTCCATTTTCTTTTGCTTTTTAAAGGGGGCCACCTGAAGGGGTTCGACTCTCTTGAAGGGTAAAAGCTCTGTGCTTTTAATATTTAAACAGTGCTTCTGTGATAGAAAAAGGGGAAAAGTCTTGGGGAAGATGTTGGGAATCCAATTGGGCTGTGTTTTAAGCTGTCATTACACCATCAAAACCCATTTCCGATTACGCCGCCAGTCACTGGAGCTTCCATTTCCGAGCTTTCCACCGCCCAATCGTCGACTCCGTGCACGCCTCATAACTCGAACTTCACTCCCTTCCATGGCACTCCAGGCAGGGAATTAAATCGCGGTCGCGGTTGCGTTTTCGGTTATTTCGGATTTATCGTGATTGTGGCCGTCACGGGCGCTATTACGGTTGTCGCGGACGCTATTACGGCCGTCGCGAGTAACTCGGACAACGACGAAACCATTATATCGCGGACGAAATCGCGATCGCGGACCGTTTTTTAAAACCCTAACTCCAGGTCCAGGACCAACAATCATTTCACAAATCCAGAGATGTGCTTCCTAAAATCGACAAAAGTAGCCGCTTTTGCAGCCCTAAAGCCGCCCGGGAGCTTGCTTCATTAATCGTTTATGCGTCATGTTTGCAAGGCTTGGAACGTATTTGCCTGTTGGAGAAATAGATTAATGCAGCTAGAGAACAAGGTTATGAATTCGACAAGGATTCATTATTGCAATACAACCACATGAGCTTCGGAGGACCTCCGGTCACTACACAATCCATTGAAGAAGCCGATGAGCTTTTATGCAGCGATGAGCAGGATTCCACCATTGAGGCCGAAGTTCTATTGGCTCCTCCAAAGTTGGTGTACATCAAACTTATTTTGAGTTTCACAAGGAAACTTTTGGTAGCAACAGTGGATAAACTGAGTTCAGCTTGTAAGCATTTCAATAATGGCAGTAGACCAATGTTATTTAATTGTTTGAACGTGCAGTGTTCTATTTAATTAAAAAGCATCTTTGTTTATTTTAAATTGGTACCCTAACTTTGATTTTTTTTCTCTTTGCACCATTCAATTAATTTTAATTTAATCATTAATCTCTTCAATATTTTTTATTTAATATTTTTTTCTCATCTTATTTTATTTTATTCTATTATTTAACAATAATTTGATATTTTTTAGGATAATTTCAATCGATCAAAGGTAATTAGTTTGTATTGAATTTTTAAATTTCAATTTCAATTTTTAATTTTCACAATTAAAGACAACAAACAAATTAATTGGTACCGAAAGGGCAGTTCAAGGGTGCTAATACTTCCTTGACCATAACCAACTCTCGAACCCGACATATTTCTGGTAAATCGCAGATCAGGTAAGATGGTGTCCGATCTACCTAAATATTTTTAAAATGATCGGTGACGACTCTAACCCAATTATTCAAGTCGAAACCCAATTCCGGGCCCAACCGAAAGACGGCCGCGACAGCTTGGCGACTCTGCTGGGGACATGTAAGTGAGTCAGGCCATAATTAATTTTTGGTTGTCTTTTTGAGCGAAAATTACAAATTTTAATTTTAATTTATTTATTTGATTCCAATTATTTACCTTTGATTATTTTTCAAATAAATAGTTGTACTGACGTTTTTTCAATGATTTCATATTTTTGAAAAGTTTCTCTCTATGGCTCTATACTCGAGCTCTGAACCCTTTTTAAGTAGGGGTGAAAGCGACGCCTTCGTAAGAATTTATTCTCCGTACATGCCTAGCAAGTAGCCTTCGGGATTCATATAACTTATGTCTTCGTGTGAATTTATTCGCATAAACATAAAGGAATGTTTCCTCTCGAGTTTAATTTAGTCCACATAAGCTTGTAATGGGCTTAGGACTAAAGGTCTGGCAAGCCCAAGGGAGCACCGGTAAGGAGAACTCGGGTACCTTTTTTTTATAACCTAAACCAAGAGACTGCAGGGAATTATAGCCCACCCCAAAACCTCATTTCAAACCCTAGGTTGTTTTGATTATTTCCTGCTTTATTTTTTGTTCAAAGCATGTGAACTAGAAATTTATGCGGTTATGACTTGTTCGAAATCAACTTACGGGATAGAGATAATGTCCGGGTAGGAATAATAAGCATGTGGGGTAGATATCATGCGGGGTAGAATTTTTCATTTTCATTATTGTTTTGATTTACCTTACTAACCTTTTTCATTTTTGTTCTCTTTTATTTTGTTTTTATCTTTTGCGTCATTCATTCAAAAGAGGTGTTGATCCACCAAAAACGTGTTCATTAAACGTAAATAATTTACATTAATGGACAAAGGGGTTATAATACAAGAGGTGAAAAACACAAAAGTCTAGTTCAGAAGGGTCCGAGATTTACGCCGAGCACACCAAAAGTCAACTTTTTGAGTTGTTAAAAATTTGCAAGGGCATACGAGAAGAAGGTTACTGACCTGGAGAATCCCTTCAAAGACAGCAAGAACAAGATGGTGAAACTCTAGCTAAACTGGAGACCACTGTTGACAAATTCAAGAAACATGCAGATAATCTTTGGATAGTTACTATCGATGGAGGGCTCCAATGGCGCTTTCGTTAGGAACAGGCTCAGCAGAAAGTGAAAGCGGGAGATGCAGTCATTCGAGACTTTTAGGAGCAAGCAATTGTCACTTGCACAGTTTAGCCAGATAAGCCGGAAATGTTCGACAGGACATTCAACCAGTGACAGAAAAAGACGGAAGATGAATTAATCTGTCAGAAGTTGTTCGGGGTATATACCTTTAAAATGTTTTTGTCTCCTAAGACGTAACACATTTATCCCCAATAAGGATTATTTATAACAACAGACGTATTTTTAGATCAATGCCTCGAACATTTCATGCATCATGCGTTCTTGCATATTTCGCATAATTTTTCTTTTTTCATTGCATCCACACGAACTAACAAAAGATTTTCATAAACAAAGGGATACAAACACTGGACGTACCTCCACAAGCTTCGGACACGTGTCATCCTCACAACACTCGCGTAAAGGAAAACGGAAGCAAAGATTTCTCAACTTGAAGAGAACATGCTAAGATTACAACTGGAAGAAAATAAATCAAAATCAACAAAGTACCTTGGATTCTATCACTAGGAACCAAGACTTATTGGTTGACCAGATTATTTCACAGTTGTCTGGCTTGAATCAAATGAATGCTCCTTGGGCAAGTGGGGCATCGTAATGAGGATTTATTCCATTTTGCAACATCCTGTTTGGACTTGTTTTTTTGAACCTTCTCATATTTCTTTTTGTAACTTGTTTTTGAACTTTGACATATTTCTTTTTATGAGGACATTTCAATGAATTTGCGCTGAGCATTGAATTAAATTTACAACTTGAAATTCTTTTAATATCATCTGAATTAAAAAAAACTCTGTAAATGATTCAGAGTTACAGATCTTTGACAAAGTAACAAAACAAAGGACTTTGACCTTACCCAGAATATACACTCGAACACCATATTCTTCTCTTGCAAATAACCAATATAGCCTTCTCCCTTCATAAGGCTTGGTATTTAGAGGTGCATAGGTGCAGACAACATGGGACATCTTTTGCTATGACAATTACTATACTTTTTATTTAAGACGTTCAATGATGATCATGATCTTTACATATGGAATAGTCGAGTAGGTGAATCTAGTTTAGGTCAGTTGCTCGGAAATTAAACTCTAAAGATGAATTTTTTTACTTTCAACAAACACCTAGACTATAACAGGTTCTTCTTGACAATCTTAAGAAATTAAATCCGTAAAGCTGAGTTATTCCACTAAGGCATTTGGTTATAGAGTAAACTCGAAAGCCCTGGCTTTATGAATAGATTGCATTCAAACTATGACATTGCTCGGACACTTGGTAATTCGGTGTTTGCTCCACTGCTTTTGTAAGGCCGAAGACTTTGTGATGAGATCAACCCTTCAATTAAACCTGATAAAAGTTATTATAATATTAAGCTTTCTCTCTAAAGCAATTGGTTAAACGCCCCTACTTTATGGATTCGGCTAGTCAGGCAATGACAAATTAAATCAAATTTATCTAAATAAGAAATTTTCGGTAATGATGGACAAAGGGAGTTAAGGAACACCTGTTATAGTCAATTTCACACAAGCACTCAAGAATTTTATTTTTAGACCGATATTTTTTCAATGCCTTTGTTAGAGGAGCCTACAAAGCTTGAACAAATGGAAGATTTCATATGACCGAAATTGAAGGTCTAGTAATCGATTATGCTAGTTGCGTCATTTTGTCCACATCCAATTAAAATGGCAAGCCAAAGAAAAAACATGTTGCAACAACCGAAAAATGACATTTTTTAATGGCTGAAACCTTAGGTAAACCTAAAGCCAACTCATCCACTTGAATATTTGTCAAAGAGCTATAACTCTGAAAGCATTAAAAGAGCTATTGATTCATTTGATATTCTTTGAACTCATGTTTATGATTTGATTCGATTGCGAGCCTAGATTGAGGGGCAATGTTTTACATAATTTTACATTTTTATCTTTTTTTCCTCCTAAAATAAGAGAATGGGAAAAAAACATTTTCAAACAGGATAGTCTCAAATGTGAAAAGTCCTTAAAGTTGTTAAAGCTCATTTTGCCTCTATTGAAGAAATAACGAACAATGCCAAATTCGAGCATTTCTCATTTCTTAAAACAATCGGTCTGAGAGACCAGATAACACTTGTGATAATATCAACAACTTGAGAAGAAAATGGGGCATAGTCGATCCCAAGGACAAAACCAGCAGAAAAAAGTGAGGCTTCATCCAAGAAAAAACATAATTAATTCATGTTACATGCATCTTAGACATACTTAAGAGCATCACATTTATCATTTTTAGCATACATAATTTTTTGCAGCTTTTTGAGTCAAGTTTCAACTTCAAGACGAAAAACACTTGATTCAAAATCACATTCAAAAGTTGACGGTAGTTGCTCGACCTCACAGCGAAGGGGCGACTGTCTGACGAAAAAACAACTTTTCGAGTCTTGTTGAGAGTCAATTTCAACTTCACGACGAAGGATATTCAAGTCAAGGCTCAACTTCACAACGAAGGGGTCATCCACAATTTCAACTTCACGACCAAGGATATCGTGCCAACTCTAGATTGGATTTCAACTTCACGACGAAGGATATCCAATTCAAAGCTCAACTTCACGGCGAAGGGGCTTCCCAGTTTCATTCAGAGCCAATTTCAACTTCACGACGAATGATATTGGACTCGAAACAATACAAGCTTGGATTTCAACTTCACGACAAAGGATATTCAAGTTAAGGCTCAACTTCACAATGAATAGTTCATCCACGGTTTCAACTTCACGACGAAGGGAATCGTGCTAACCAGTAACATTCATCTTCAACTTGGATTTCAACTTCACGACGAATGATATTCAAGTTAAAGCTTAACTTCACAACGAATGGGTCATCTACGGTTTCAACTTCACAACAAATGGAATCGTGCTCACTAGCAACATTCATCTTTAGATTGGATTTCAACTTCACGACGAAGGATATCCAATTTGAGGCTTAACTTCACAACGAAGGGGCCATCCATGGTTTCAACTTCACGACGAAGGGAATCGTACCCACCAGCAATATTCATCTTCAGTGTGGATTTTAACTTCACAACGAATGACGTCCAATTAAAAGCTCAATTTCATAGCGAATGAGCCATCTATAATTTCAACTTCACGAAGAAAGATATTGTGCCCGATGAAGTGATTTAGCGTCACAGCAAACATGACATCCACAGATTTGACTTCCTTAAGTTAACGATTAGAGCTTCTGAAAGGATTTGTTTAACATGCACGAACAAGCAGATTATAAACCACCTTTGAGATTATTTCTCTCGAAATAAGGGGTTGTCTCTCTTGAGACTATTTTACTTAAAACAAAGTTTTGTCTCTCTTGAGACAAGTTTCTCTTGAAACATATTTTGTCTCTCTTGAGACAGTTTCCCTTGAAACAAATTTTGTCTCTCTTGAGACAGTTTCCCTTGAAACAAATTTTGTCTCCCTTGAGACAGTTTCTCTTGAAACAAAATCTTTGAATATGTATTTCTTGAAACAAATTTCGTCTCCCTTGAGACAGTTTCTTTTGGAACTAAGTTTTGTCTCTCTTAAAACAAATTTTGTCTCTCTTGAGACAGTTTCCCTTGAAACAAAGTTTTATCTCTCTTGAGACAGTTTCTCTAGAAACACCAACCTTTAAATATGTTTCTCTTGAAACAAAATTTTTGTAACACCCCAACCCGTATCCGACCCGGATACGAATCCGAGGTGTCACATTGACCTTTTAAAACATGTACTTGTATAAAATAGTGAGTAATTTAAAATTTTATAACATATAAATGACTAATTTACATAAAAGACATTTTCATTATTACAAAACCAATCAGAGCATGTATATTTCACTTATTTATTTACATATAACTATTCGAAACATTTATAAAACTTTTCATAGCTTAAACAATATATTCTTTTGAAAACATGCCAACTAGAACTTTATATACTAAAATACATATTATTCACCTCTTTTCTGATCTGACCTTTAGTAAGGAGAACTGACATGTCTTGCTCCACATTGCTCTTTACTCTTCTCGAAACCTACGTGTATATCACTTACACGCTAACTCAAAGACTTAGTGAGGCATATAAACATATAAGGTAAACGGTAACTAATAATCATACCTAAACAATTACTACTATCATTTCATACCACTCATACTTTTACATGTAACAAATATATGCATACATATATGTCATTATCATTCATATCTCTTATCTCATGTTCCTATGATCTCTTATGTCCATATCATATAACATATACCATAACCAATTGCACATATACATATCATGTCATGTAAACTATATATATACTATCATTGATTCCTTTCATCATATGGTCTTATAAGTTACCATTTGTACAATCAATATCACACATGAAATTCCACAAGGAAACAAACATATTATCATATCACTTTATTAATATTATCTATTTAATAGCCCATGATACACATGTGAGAACTAAAGATATGCGAGTACATAGAGGTTGTGCACTAATGTTGTCACCACAGCTCATATAATTGCACCGAAGTGCCACATATAATTGCACCGGAGTGCCGCGTAGAATTGCACCGTAGTGCCATATAATAATGTCCATAAGGACCACATATCATTCCTTAAGAATCATATACATATACTAGGGATCAAGTATGTGTCTCACCAGACTTCACACATGTTCCAAAGAATATATATATGTCCCGAAGGACCACATATCATTCCTTAAGAATCATATACATATGCCAAGGATCAAGTATGTGTCTCACCAGACTTCACACATGTTTCAAAGAATACATATATGTCTCGAAGGACCACATAGACCCTCGACTCTTGGCATGCCAACTATACCCCTAGCTCTCATGACACAAAACATGGGCATTATCTTTTATATCCTTTTACATATTCATGTAACCATATCATATATTCATATAAGCTCATGGTTTCATTCACATACACATGTAATCACGTAGTTCATGTCAATTCTCATATGAGTTCATATTCATATAAACATAGGATTCACCCTCATGTATCACATATAATTTCTCTTTCATATGGCTCATAACATTTCTCATGTGTTCATATGACATGTAAATCATTGTCATCTTATCATGTTATCAC